GTGAAATGAGAAGGAATGCGGGTGATTTTGGGGGGTCCCAGGTGGATTTGGGGTGAATTTTGGAAATCCTGGGTGGGATTTGGGGGTCCCAGGTGGATTTTTGGGGGATCCAGGGTGGATTTTGAGGGGTCCCAGGTGGATTTTGGGGTGAATTTGGTGGATTTTGGGGTGATTTTGGGGATTTTGGGGGGTCCTGGGTGAGTTTTGGGGTGAATTTGGGGGATTTTGGGGTGAATTTGGGGGATTTTGGGGGGTTCCCGTGGATTTTGGGGTGATTTTGGGGGACTTTGGGATGAATTCGGGGGATTTTGGGGCTCTCAGGTGGATTTTGGGGTGAATTTGGGGGATTTTGGGGTGAATTTGAGGATTTTGGGGGTGAATTTAGGGGATTTTGGAGGTTCCTGTTGGATTTTGGGGGTTCCCATGGAATTTTGGGGTGAATTTAGGGGATTTTGTGTGAATTTGGGGGATTTTTGGGTGAATTTGGGGGATTTTGGGGGTTTCCAGGTGAATTTTGGGGTGAATTTGGGGGATTTTGGGGGTTCATGTTGGATTTTGGGGTTTCCCATGGAATTTTGGGGTGATTTTGGGGTGAATTTGGGGGATTTTGGGGGTTCATGTTGGATTTTGGGGTTTCCCATGGAATTTTGGGGTAAATTTAGGGGATTTTGGGTGAATTTGGGGGATTTTTGGGTGAATTTGGGGGATTTTGGGGGTTCCCTGGTGAATTTTGGGGTGAATTTGAGGGATTTTGGGGGTTCCCTGGTGAATTTTGGGGTGAATTTGAGGGATTTTGGGGGTTCCCTGGTGAATTTTGGGGTGAATTTGAGGGATTTTGGGGGTTCCCTGGTGAATTTTGGGGTCCCCATGGCAGCCCCTCCCCCCAGGTGCGGCGCAGTCAGCGATTGGCCAAGCTCAGAGAGGGCGGAGCCTCTGCTGGCCCCGCCCCCAGCCCGAAGGGGCGTGGCCAAGGCCCCGGGCCACGCCCCTCACTCAGGCCACGCCCCCAGAGGAAGCGGGACCGGGTGGGGGCGGGGCTTGATGAGGCCACGCCCTCCACAGCCATAAAAGGAAATGGGCGGGGCTCAGACCCTGCCCCCATCCGGGTAAGGACCAGTATGGACCAGTATAAACCAGTGTAGACCGGTACAAACCAGTACAGACCCGTATGAACCCGTATAAACCAGTACACACCAGTTCAGACCAGTTCAGACCAGTACAGACTAGTTCAGACCAGTTCAGACCAGTTCAGACCAGTATGAACCAGTTCAGACCAGTACAGACCAGTATAAACCAGTATGAACCCGTATAAACCAGTACACACCAGTTCAGACCAGT